TATATTTATACAGAGGCTCCTTTTACTATTCCCATGCTGGTCTCTGGTTGTCCAATAATAGTACCAATAAGTGGACACATTTCCTTAACTAAATCTGTAGCATCAGGGTTTATTATACATAAGGTGTGGGTGTGTGCACGCACACGCATACACAGACAGGAGAGGGTTTGTTTAACTGACAAGAAGGCATTCTCAGCAAAATTTCTTATATTAGCAAAACTTGTATTTTGCATTTTGGATTCCCTCTCCACTTGCTTGCATTATGTTTAATGTTAGCAATAAATAAAGAAATAAATATTACTGCTATAACATGTTCCTGTTGAATTTCAACCATTTGTTCAGCAGTTGTTTTGCCTATATTAGCTAATAATGTGTATTTTATTGCTACTCTTTAATCGTCATAGAAGCTTAATGAATATGGTAAGCCACTAAAATTAAAGAAATCCCTGATGGAAAGAAATGTATTAGAATTTCAGGCTTTAATAACTTAAATCTGCCCAAGAGTAAACAGCTAAATTCTAAGCTTGCATTTTAAGGAAGTAAAGCCTTAATGAAAATGGAAACCATTTTTATCAAGCTTTGTAAAAACTCCATCTCAACCGTATTTTATTAAATAATTAACTAGAATAATTGAGATTACAGTTCTTCCTTAATCTTCTCCTTTTAACTGACAGAAAGGAGTTCATAAGCAGGTTATGAGCCATTGAGAAGTACACAAGGCAAACAAGGAATGACATTCCTAATATGCTCCAGGAAAATGCATGTTCATTTTCATATATAAAGTACTGCAATAATACAGCTATATTTTCTTTTCATCTTCTTGGTATATAAAGCAAGGTGGAAATTTCCCTCCATTTGCTGCCAGCATCCATGATGGTCAACCATAACGCAGTCAAACTGGAAGCAACTTTTTTTCTTCCCCCCCCCCTTCTATGTGTATGCACAGTCCTATGAAAATGTAAATGTAAATGTAGCTGCTATCCATCTTGTCAGATCAGGTTTTATTTTTTTTCTAATTCAGCAACTTAGTTTTAAAACATAACAAAACAGACCACTGTTGTCCTGCAGATACTGGCACTTGACACAATCCCCTCTCCTCAATCTACCTAACTAGTTGTGGGGAAAAAGGGAGGGGAAATTTCAGTTATTTCTGAGAATATCTGGGAACAGAAAAAGGTATCTTAAGCTCCAAATCTTGGTAAAATACCTCATATTTGAGATTTGTTGCATCTTTTTTATTCTAAGTTAGTTTATCAAGAAGAGATGTATTTAAGATCCTGTTTAAGATTGAAGGAGTTGCAATGTTATTCAAGTGAGCCAAGCAGTTCAGAAATGCTCAAAAGTCACTTCCATGCAGAAAGTTCCTCAACTGACAGGATAATCCCTTACATCAAAATTGCTTACTCACTTCTGTCCTACCCTCCCTCTTGTTTTCCCATATAGAATTTGCCCTTATTCGTAGGGAAATGGCAATTCTTGTTTAATTAGTCATCTGAGATTTTCAAACACAGGAAACCAATAAAATAAATTCAGTTTATATATAGTGTGCATTCTATGCACTAGTATTACAGATGAACCCCAATACAGGAGAAACTTAGGTGGACTCCAGAAATCCAGTCAACAGTGAAGCATGTAACAAGTAACTGTGTGCATGTAACTGTGTGCCTAAAGGTGGAATACTCTGTAATTCCTTCCCCCTTTGTCAAGTACTGGAAAGGCTGTGGCCTGTAGAATAACTCACATGCTAGATAAAGAGTTAAAATATTTTGTTTAAAAATGTCTCTCAGGTTTTCTAAATGGAGCTGCAGAGTCATCTTTGGTTAAGGCCACCAAAATATGCACTCTCTTATTCCTCCCTCCACAAATTCAAAAGCTTTTTTAGAATTACACCAGTACGGAAAATTACGTGTTTGCAGATAATTACACAAACTCCATCAATATTTAGGCTTGGTTTTCAAAGGAGAAAGATCTTTGCAGGAACCATGACCGTTTAACTGTTTTCAAATCCAAAAATCTTAATTTATCCTTTCCAAATACATGCAACATTTTTTCAAATTAGATTGCCATCCCGCATCCTATGTTTTTATTCCTGACATAGGTAGGGCATTTATACCTTACATAAAGAATTTTTTTTTTTCCAGAAGATTGGTTTGTTGAACTGTTCAACTGGACAACCAAATACTTTTTTGTTTTGTTTTGTTTTCCCATTATTTTTTTTAAGTCAGTGTGCTCAAACCACAAGCTGTAGTATTACTGTAAGAAATGTATCAGCATCAGTGAATACGAAGCATCTCAATTGGTTTACTGAGGTTACGTGGAGTATCCTTTGTAGTTCCCTTTGATACATTATTTATCAACTTTAAAGGGAAAATTGTTTTCACTTAGAAGTACAGAAAATATTTTCTTCTTCACAAGCACTTCCCATGCTGAGCAAGTGTTCTGTTTTGCAGCATGAATCCAACACACACAAACATATTCTCCCTCAGGTTTGTATACGCACGTATTTTAAGTCACGTAGACAAACTCCTTGTGCATTCGATACGCACATATTATTTGGGCACAATAAGCCAAATTCAGTCAGATCAATCTATGTAGGCCATATTTTTTATGAAAGTAAGACTGCTTCTAGATGCCATAATATTTTGTGGAACTTTTGTGGTTTAGTTGTTTTTTATTGAAGTTTTTCTACAAATGTTAGGTGTAAGCCAAATTTGGTTTGGTTGTTGTTGGTTTTTATTGAAGTTTTTCTACAAATGTTAGGTCCGCTTGTTAGAAAGTTAAAAGGAGAAACTAGTTTTGCTCCTTCTCTGATCAGATGGCACTCCTGTTTGGCATAGGAACAGCTGCTTAGAGGGATGGCATTTTTAACCTGTGCAATAGAAACAAACAAATTGTAAAGCTGTGCTCTCACTAACTTCTTTCCTGACTTTCTTCCTGAATAAGGTCAGCTTTCTCTGTTGGACCTGTCATAATTCTGCAAATATTCCTAGAAAAAAAAAAAAAAAAAAAAAGAAAGGCCCATGCACAGGAACTTTTTGGGATAACTTTTCTTAGGAATTCTCAGAGGACACAACAATCTGCGCATTCAGGATAACGGTGTTTCAAACCCACAACGTTATCAGCAACTGTCACATTCTGTTCTCCAGCTAAATAGTTTTTCAGAGGGCTGAAACATAAGATAGAAACAAATAGAAGGAAGATTCACAGGAACATAAACCAAATTCAAAAGGGATATCAAAACCTATGAACCTTAAGGCATTTCTCCACTTTCCCAACTACACACCAAACTGTTTATCTCCCACGGAAAAGGAAAGTATTTTATAATAAAAACCATGTTGAGAATTTGCTATTCAAAAGAAACTTGTAAGCAAATGTCATGCCATCATCAGGATCTCAAAACCCATCCTAAATTATTTTCATATGCATGAAGTAGCCCATAATTAAAACCGGAATCATGATTCTTTAATTGGCTGCATTAAAAGTTACCAGCAGAAGTTCAGGTGATTGACATTCAAGTTTCATCTCTTCTTACTCATCTGTGCTGTAATCCATGAATCACCTGTGCATTTGGGGCTTGTTTTAAAACATATTAAAACCAAATAATAACTACAGAGGTAAACACACATACAATAACACTAAGTGTGATGGCTTTTGTGACACTGATGCAGTAAACTATGACATGTATCAAAATGTTTTATTAATTTAAAAGATTACCGTTAACATAAGGAAGATGAATGCAGTTATTCCTAGAATGAGGATTTCTTTATTCCCTTTGCTCTCTGCGTGCAACTTGCGATAATATGGTCCCATGAGATAAGTCTTTATAACAAGACATATAAGAAAAACAGCAGCCAGAGAAAAGAGAATTTGGCCAATCAGTATCAGTATTCTCAGTATTTCCTTAAAAATGCTGGAAGAGAAGAACAAACAAAACATTTCTTTCAAGTGCTCTCATGCCTCCCAACCAAGTTCCCCTTAAGTGAAAAGATCTAATTCCATGGATGCTTTCAAAACTCAGTAGCTACTCAGATATTTAGGAACATTAGCAAACAAGATTAATACTAAATCTGCCAAGTGCCCAGCCATCTCTTTTAGAGCCTAGAATTTACTTCCTTGTTGATTCAAAAGATTTTTGTTGATCGATCTTCAGGCTCAATAATACCATCACATAGTCAAAAACAGGTCTTGAGGGAATAAAGTAACTGAAGAAATTAACATATTTTTTTAGAATAGCAATCATTTTCACTACAAATTTTAAGTACTGGACAGGACTACAGCAGCTAGAGCAGAAAGAATATCCTCACACAACATGACAAGTACAAATAGTAAAGGGAACTCACAGAACAGAGTGCATATTTTTCATGGAACTGACATTAAGTGTAGCACTCTCATATTCATATATGCAATCTACAAATAATTGGAAGGGGTGGGGGAAAGATACAGACTATTTATTTATTTATTTATTTATTACCTGGAATAGGTGCTCACTCCTGCTTGAATAAGCGTAGGCATGACAGCTATAAATAAACCAAGCTGCACATCCTGCATCACCAACATGCCAAGCAGTACGCTGCTGTAGTCAATGTCCCCTGTACACCAAACAAAGCAGTCACAGAAACTTTCATCAGAATCTACCAAATGCTTGCAGTGCTCAGAAATCTAGAAAAGTCTTAATCAAATGGAGGCTAAGTACAGTTCTCAACAGAGTGGGGTCATTCAAAGCATTCTGGTTTTTTCTTCCCCCACCAGTAAGGAAATTAA